CCGACCGATGATAACCCCCCGGGGGACGTCATACCTCCCCCGGTGATGCAATCCCCCCTGACGTCATATTCCCCGTGACGTCATACTCCCCCCCCCGGTGACGTCATACCCCCCGCCCCTCACCCCTCCCTCTGAGGACCTGGGTTAGTACCGGCCTACTATACCTACTACTGCCCCTATTAGGATCTTTAAAATCTTTTGTTTCCCTAGGTTGATTTTTGTCTGAGTCACCGCCAGGTCCTCGCAGCTGAGGTGTGGCATAAAAGTCACTGTTATTCCTTTTACTGCAATACAGGCTCTTATCTTTTTGTACGTGCTGGCTTTGTATATAATACCGCACCCGCTTAAGCCTTTGATAGCATTATGCAAGAGACATGGCTTTCGATAGATCATTTTACCGATCTGCGGCGGTTTTCGCGGCCGTTTTTCGCGGCGGTTTTCGCTGCCGGTTGTGCGCCGCCCGCGCCGCCCGCGCCGCCCTGCGCATTTCGCAGTGTGATTTTTTTTAGTCACAGCTGCAAACTCTAATATTTTGCAATACATTCGACAATTAGATGCGCAAGAAAAATAATGCGACACGTGATATTTTTATTACTAATGAGCACGTACATTGTGTCCCCGCGACAAGATTTTACAAGCGATGTATGCATTCGACAATTAGATGCGCAAGAAAAAAGAATGTGACACATGATATTCTTATTACTAATGAGCTCATACACTGCGCTGTGCTGTGCAACAAGATTTTGCAAACGTATGCATGTTATACATCAAGGACAATATATTATATAATAAAGCGGTAAAAACGGTAATACAGAACGGTAAAGAAACGGTAAAGAACGGTAAAAAAAAAAACGGTTTAGGAACGGTAAAGAACGGTAAAGAAACGGTGAAGGACGGTAATGAAACGGTAAAGAAAGGTAAAGAAATTAATATCATAGCATATCGCGCAATGTAATTCCGTGTAATTTGAATTGTTGTGCCCTCGGTTACGATAAGCACAACCGGTAATTGGGATCCGGTGCAGACGTGCAAACGTATAGGATAATAAGGGAAACTAGTAGTCTTGAGGAGTTTCTTAATAAAATGTATTATTGAACTTGTCTTCTTACAATTCCTGATCACGCTCTTATTGCACTTCACATATATACTTTTTAGCTTATCCTACACCGATTAGATTAATGTATCGCGTTATTGTAATGCAGGACACTCATATTACTCTCGAGTCTGTTGTCTCTCACCTGAGACATGTAACTTGCGCCTCTAGACTGGACAGTACTTTTCTCTCTACTCTCTCTCTCGAGTAGGTGGTCCAACTCTTTATATATCATTCATGAAATTAGGGAATTAGGTTACCGACCTAATTACCTAACAGTTCAAAAGTGTAACGTGATGTTTTTGCAGCGCGTGCACTTTTGATTTACTTGCCGTATTTCGCAGTGTTCGTTTATGCAACACGTGCATTTCAGCTGAAAGTCTTTTAGCGTTTCATCATGTTTTGTCCTACATAACAGAATCATCAAATGCAGATGTGCAGACAGTTATACGTAAAATCAATGGTCATACAAAAATGTGTTGTATATATTTTTATTACA